AAAGCTTTGCTTTCTACAAAGGTATGATATATTTTTTGTTGTTATTGTTGTTGTTCATAATCTTTTTGTTGTTATTGTTATAGTTTAAGACAAAGACATGCATACCTACATAACATATTACACTGGTAAGGATTCCCTCTTGCAACTCCAAATCTAACTAGAATTCTTCTCTCTAAGTTTTAGTATTAACCAAAGAGTTATGCATAATTTTCATTTAGTTGCATGCCCATGGTTTTACGACTTGTATTAATTGAGGACGAAGCAGAGACACCTTTTGAAGTCAATTTGAAAGAGCAAAATTGTATAGAGCTCACCCAAAATGGACAAACAATTCCTCATTGCTCATAGAGCTTGCACCAATAATGGCGTTATCCATTTGCTGAAAGGACACAAGGTATATTTCTACTTTGGACTAAGCTTTTTCAAAGAGGATTTCTCATTCAAGTATATTCCGTTATGATCATGGTTTGCATATACACTCGCCTAACAAATGAAAGCTAATCAGCTTGTTGAGAACAACAAAAGCTGCAGAAAGAGAATAATACTACTTTGTTCAAGATAACTCATTTTTCTAACTTATGATCTGCAACAGCAAACCTTTACATTAAGTCTAATCAGGCTTAGTTCAAGAGGTGCAACATACTAGATGGCACAAAGCTTGTTCATATTGGAGGCGCTTCACTTCGCCCTCAATCCTCCTATTGATCCAAGGTTTTGTAGCCGTTCGTCTTCGCATCGCTCGAAGAACGATGATACTAATAATAATAATTATTATTATTATTATGGATAAATAAATAAATGAATAAATAATAAACCAAAAAAGGAGTTTTTCTTAGGAATTCGTCCTAATAATAATAAAAATAGTAAATAATAATAATAATAATAACTAGGAAAAAAAACCCAATATTATAGTATGATCGATTAAATTATCACAATGACACACAAATTCCATCATTCATATGAGGCAAATGACGACGCTTGAAAGCCCAAACGCACGTGAAGAAGCCACCTAACAGAGAACAGCAAACTAAACCAAACCCATCTCGTCTCTGGAGACACACCTCCGGTTATGGTCGATCGATCACCTTCCTCGCATTCCCGTGAGCTGGACGTACATCTCGTTCGCCATGGCCGTGCTCGAGTTCTCCACAGATTGGCTGACGGTCGGAGCCGCCGGAAGAGCCTCATCGTGTTCCTTGTGCGAAGGCCCGGCGGAGGCCGCACTGTCGACGCTCGTGTCCTCCTCCGACTCGGTTGGCTTCACCGCCTGAGGAGGAGAAGGGTCGGCAGGATTCGCGTCCTGTAGCTGGAGAGCGTACTCGAGGTTCCACAGCACGTCGCCCATGGACGGCCGGTCGACCCCGTGCTCCGCCAGGCACTTCTCCGCAGCCTCCACGAACTTGCTCAAGGCGTCCTTGCTGATGCTGCCAGCGATATTGGGGTCGATGATCTTCTCGATCAAGCCCTTCCTCTTCCACTGCAACGCCCACTCCGCCAGGTTGACTTGCTCCCTCGGCAGCGCCGGGTCGAGGGCCGGCCGCGCGCAGAGGGCCTCGAGTAGCACCACCCCAAAGGAGTACACGTCCGACTTGTCCGTGAGCTGCTGGCACCTGAAGTACTCGGGGTCGAGGTAGCCGAAGCTGCCCTTCACCGCCGTGCTGACGTGCGTCTGGTTCATCCCCGGCGCGTCCTTGGAGAGGCCGAAGTCGGACACCTTGGCGATGAAGTTTTCGTCCAGGAGGATGTTGGTGGTCTTGACGTCGCGGTGGATGATGCCCTGCGCGGTGCCAGTGTGGAGGTAGTGTAGCCCGCGCGCGGCCCCGATGCAGATCTCCAGCCGCTGCTTCCACGACAGCGGCGGTAGGTCGCTCCCGTAGATGTGGTCTCTGAAAGGCCCATTGGCCATGTACTCGTACACCAAAATCATCTCCGAGTTCTCGTCGCAGTATCCGATCAGCGACACCAGGTGGCGGTGACGAAGCTTGGACAGAATCTGGATCTCGGTCTGGAACTCGTTGATCCCCTGCTCCGACTGCGGATTCCCTCGCTTGACCGCCACCTTCGTCCCGTCGTCGAGCTCGCCAATGTACACGTTCCCGAAGCCGCCCACCCCGATCACCGCATTCTGGTCGAAGTTCTTCGTCGCGGCCTGCAGCTCCGACAGGGACATGTACCGGCCGAGACCCATTGTGGTGGAGAAGGTGTAGCCACTCCTGTGCGAGCCGTAGCCGGAGCCCTTGCCGGTCATGAAGGTCGAATTGCCCGTGTGGACGGGGAGGAGCCACGAAGAGAAGCTTTCCCTCCTCTGCCAGTCATGGGGTCTCTTGTGCCACTTCATCACCATCGCCCCTAGGCCAGCGAATGCGCCAAACATCATGGCGAACCCGACGGCGGCGACCGCGCGCCGCTTCGCGCTGCCGTCTCCAGCCCTCGAGCCATCGACTCCGAACTCTCCGTCCAAGCTCCCCACCGAGTTGTTCATCTTCAGAATCTCCACCCCGTTGAGCAACGCGTCGATCCTGCCGGTGTCCTCCTTCATGGGACCGATCTGGATGGTGATTCGGCCCGTGGCCATCGAGGCATTCAGAACGAAGTCTTTGTAATAAGGCATCGCGAGGCCGGAGGTGACGGTGGAGAGGTCGAGCCCTGAGATTGCCATCAGCCCATTGATGTACACGTTGAAGTAGAGATCGTTGAGCGACTTGCTGATGATGTCGCAAAAGTGCAGTCGGACGAAGTAGCCGAACGAGGAGTCGACGTCGAAGAACCACGTGACGTTGAAGCTGGGGCTCCCGACGCGCGCGTCCGCCATTTTGACGGCCGTGGCGTACACGGAGTTGGGTGCAATCAGCGGCGTGGTTCCCTCGGGATACTTGATGATGCTGGGGGACACAGACACGGCCTCGGCGGTGGACCTCGACTGCAGGAAGGGCTCGTCCGGCCCCCACGCGCGCCCGAGCGTGTCGTTGGCGGAGGTGACGACCGGCCCGCCGACGTTGATCCGGTAGGCCACCTGGTACGCTGACAGCGAGAGCCCGTCGGTCTGCCCCACGGGCGACACCGTGGAGGCCGTGTTGGGGATGAGCGCGTCGGGGGCGGAGACGACCTCGATGCCGTTAATGAAGGCGACGGAGTTGCGGAGAGGGGAGAAATGGATGGCGAGGCGCGGGGAGGTGGCATTGACGAGGTACTCCTTGAGCTCCCACTTGGAGGGGTCGTCCACGGTGAAGCTGTGGAGGAGTACGAGGTCGTCCGTGTTGACGGAGAAGACGGCGCTGGTGAGGTCGAAGTCGGAGCTGTTCACCGGGAAGAAATGGAGCCTGATCCAGTGCCAGCCGGGGCGAGAGAGCGTGAAGCTGTAGGAGGTCTCCTCATGGAAGATCCTCGCCGAGAGGTAGATCGGGGAGGGGACACCGGGCGCGGACGGGACCGACGCGCGGACCTCGTCGTGCGCCGAGAGGAAAGAAGCAGACTGCGCGTCGGTCTTAAACGCACGGCCGTCGGGCGTGGTAACCGTGGCGGTCGCCCCGCAGTCGATCAAGAAGTTGTCAGCCGGGGTGAACGGTTCGGAAGGTGCTTGCGGTTGACCGGAGGCGGACGTCACGAAGGCCAAGCAGAGAACAAAGGGGAGGAGGAGGAGGCGTTGGAACCGATCCATTCTAATCGGAGACACTATCAACATCTCAAGCTTCTTCTTCTGCTACCTCTGCCGTCGCTCATATGGGCGGAGGATTGCATCCTTACTCCTTTCTCGATGCCTTTCCGATCCCAGGACGGGGCTCGGGAAGGTGGAAGAAAGGGTGGAGGAGGAGGAGGAGGTAGAAATGGCTACGTAGATGAGGCCTCTGGATTTGTGGGAGCGACCTGCTCAAATCCTTGATCTCGTCTTTGACCTCTACGTGCTATATGTGGAGGCCATAAGAACGGGTCAAGTCGCAGAGAAGCGCGCGGAGTAACCTTCGGCTCCCTCGTAGTTCTCCTCTTTCTCCTCACTTCCATTGCTAAATTATAGTATATCTACAATTAAAATTTTGTCTGTATATTAATAGCTTAACCTTTTGGAATTAACAATATCTCTATATTAAAAATATTTTTACGTGAGTTGCTCAATCATTATTGAGTCGAACAATCATAAGAAACAAAGTTGATAATGCAATGCCATTATTTATACCATCCGAGTGGATCGACGACTGGATCGAGCCGACTCACGATTAGTAAACGATATAACTCTAATGAATGGTCTCGGAGCGCTTATGTCATGTCACTCATTCCAACTTTAATGCACACGAGCTAATCTTTGTCCTGATCGAGGACAAGGTGGTGAGGGATGAAACAGTGGGGCCAACTTCTTCACATGACTGCATGACTGCATGACTGCATTATTCATCAAAATATCTATAAAATTTATAATCCTAAAGCAGACTGCAATTGTAATTATAAGAGGGAATGGAGGAGAAAATAAGGGGAAAGAAAAAGAAATAACGTCCTGGGGATCCTCGAGCTTTTGTTGGGTAGCGCCGCGGGGCCCATATGGGCACGTCCGTGTCGAAGTAACAGTTCCGAACTGTCCCGTCACGTTTTCGGGACCCCCAAAAAATTGTAACGGCGCCACTTATTAAATAATTGAGCCAACAGAAACTGCATTCGTTACTCACTTACGCTGTACCCGTTTTGTTATCTTTCCTGTGATCGACGATTGACGGTGGGACCCGGTGGGTCCTGCTGTATGGGTGGGAGTGCACGGGCGGGAGACGTGTCACGGACAGAAAGGCCTTGACCAGATCAATGAAACCGTCACGACGCGTGCCGGTATAACCGTCACGACGCATTGTAACGGTCTCAACGGGAATCCCGTTATGGAATAAAGGGCGTCCCCAGCGCCTGGTACCCTAATAGTTTACCCCTCGAAGAGGCATGGCGGCCTCCACTGAAGGAAGGCTTTCCTCTCTTCTCTCACATAATAAATACGGAGTCGTAACGGGACGGTGCTCAACGCCAAGCACGAGACGAGTAGCAGCAGCAGCAGTAGTAAATTAGCAGCAGCAGCAGCAGAAGCAGCGGTTCGGAGGAGGAGGAGGAGGAGACGAGGAAGCGGACCCACATTTGCTCCTCTCTCGATCAGTCTCCCTTCCTCTGACTAAGATCAGAACAAAACCCGAGCAAAGCAGACGAAAGCGGGCCTCCCCGCTCCTCTTTTCCTTTGTCGTCCCATCTCCTTCGTCAGGAGACCGAGTGCGCTTCTCGAGATCTGCGGTGGAGCAGCGCAGATCCAGCTCGATCCAGAGCGGAGCATGTGAGGGGAAGCGGGGAGGAGGAGGTATGGCGGGGAATGGTGGAGGCGGAGGCAGCAGCTGGGCCGGGGGTGGTGGTGGTGGTGGTGGGGGGGCGGCGGCGTCCATTAGCACGGCAGCGGCGGCCACGGCCATTGGCTCCGTGGAGCCGAGGCTCCGTCCTCCGGAGAGGGTACGCGTGCTGCTTCTCCACACTGTGCTTCTCTCTCGATCTTGGCTCTCGTTTGTTCTTTTTCTGTTTCCTGGGGAGGCCTAGGTTTAGGAGCCGCTCTTCGCGAATTTGTCTCAGATTTGTAGCAATTGCAACGAGAGGGAAATATCGGAGACCATCCGGCACCTCCGTTTCTTTGATGCGGAGATCGGGGTGTCAGATCTAGGGTTCCGGGGCGCAAATCATGCCGACGTTGTGTGTGTGAAGTTTTCTTTGGCGTCTCTGCTTGAATGCTGCCTATTCTGTTGGGGATCGGAACTTATATTGTCGATTTAGGTTTCTAAAGGGGGTTTTCGCTGCTCAGATGTGGGAAACCAACACCGGATCTCTTAATCATTGATTAGTAGACAGGCCTTGCACAGATCTTCTTCTTGTTAAGCTTTAGGAAGCTGAAATGTTAGGGTTTACATCAAGCAGAGGCACTTCGAACTCCGGTTTTATGCTAGTTACTCCCTTAGACTTGGGATCAACAGTATCGTATCCACATAGATGCTCTCTTAGTGGAAAAGACTGCTTTTTCCGTAGATGCTTTTGTTGGTAAATTAACACATCTTGCTTTAATTTCTCTCTGTTTTCCCTTTACTGAGATGCAAAGTATAATGATGGTATGATGCACAGCTAGAGCTACTGTCACAATCCACCCTTACAACTCTTCCTAAGTGACTAAGGTATTTACTCACTCCGTTAAAAAGCCAAAAATAAATGAGTACCTTTCTTTAATCATCTATGACTTTATCTGTGCACCAAATCCCAGATTTGTCGCCTTCTAGATGAATATACTGAAATATTATGATGCAAATTAGTGTTGGCTTGCATCAGAGTTGCCTATTATCCTTCCCCGTCATTACAAGAAGACAGTGAGCAAGATGGTTAAACGGGGAAAACATCTGCAAAGCTTTTCATGTTTCATTTCCTTGTCATCGAACCTTTGCTATCTACCCTGACATGCCAATTATCATCGTTTAAGTTTATTGCTTTTACCAGCTTGGGTTCGGAAGCTGACAGGTCTCCATTTGTTTTGATTCTCTGTTTTATTTGCAATTTTTTGATTTGTATATATCTATCTGTCTATCTTATCAGTCTTGAATGAGCACACTATGTTTTTAGTGGCTACCGTACAATTCTTCAAATTTTTCATGCTGGGAAGAATTCGTGATGTCTTGCATTTTCAAAAGTTCTGTAACATTCCACATTCCTGGCTTGGCCTCTTGTTATTTGTTTTCATCATAACACAGAGATTGTTGTCCAGAAATTCTACGCATTCATTTCTTCATGAATTGGAACTCTTTTTTTTTTCATGTTCTTATTGTATGATCGCTATCCTATGTTATTTTGCAAAGCAAATATCATCCAGTTTCATTTAGTTTCTCATTGCAGTAACATAATGTCTTTCAGATAATTAGGTGTATCTAGTCCTATTATTCTTGTTGCAAATACAGCAAAATCCATGTTGTCAATTGGAAGTGGTGCTGTTGAATGTGTTTTGGTAAATAAACTACAGATTTGACTTTTTTTTTAAAAAATTTCTTATCAGTAGTCATGTGGTAAATATCTACATGTCTCATATCTGCTAATGTGCTTTCAAATATTTTTATCGTATTTTGGTTTAATTTAATGGTCCGAATTAGGAAAATCACATATAGATGAAAGATAAGGTTGCTGCATTTTGTCATGATATTATTTTAAATGAGGCCATGATATTGTAACATTTTATAAGAGTTTGTTTGGACAATTGTTAAACCCCTAAAGATTTTGATGATAGGTGTTTGTCCTTTGAACCAGCATGCAGTTTTTTGAAATAAATGAAGAATATGTATGTCGTTAAATGAAATATTGTGATTGTTCATGTGTTAAAAAAAATTAATGTACTTGGGGATAATATCTGAATCAGTTGAATTTTGTTGTTTAAGTTAGGAATTCTTCTTTGTGTCACATCATATCCTTCTATTCTCACGTTGACTTTTCATTCTCTTCCGATGCCTTTCTCTTTTTGACTATTTAGTTTATTAGTTGTTTGGGGCCTTGACAATATGATGTGATATTGCCTAATATCGGTGGCCGCCTTCGAGTGAGTAGACCAGTCGACTTTGGTCAGACCTAATTCACGGCAAAAGGTCTAATGACACCCGAGATGCCAAAAGCTCCCGATGTGGTTTCGATTCCGAAACTCATTTCCTTACACAAAGACCGATGTCAGGATGGGTTTCCGATGTGGTTCATTCAATGCTCAAGCCAGATCTCCTAAAGTTGGGGGTTTGAGGAAGCAGAGAGTGTGTGTCCGACCTCAATAAACATGCTCCTATTCACCTTTTATAGCCGGTCTTTCCTTGAGTGTTTGCAGTTCAGGAAATATTTTCCATTCCAATTTTTCTGACATGACATATTGATTGCTTGACTTTTCTCATTTTTCTGGTGGTGTGGCAGCCATGTGTTGATGAGTAATGGTTGTCTTCATAGTTTCTATGTCTTCTTGATGTGTTGGATGTCAATGGAAATGTCAAGAATATTAATCAATAGATGAAACTTGCAGAAATGCTTATTGATCCAGATTAATCAATAGAAATGTCAAGAATATTAAATTGGTACTGTTTTAAACACTTGAATCAATTGGTCAGCATTGCGATCCTATTATGCATGTCTACAGAAGTGATCGACTGATCATTTAAGAACTACAAACCTTGCACGGGAACTTGACCTTCACATGAAATAAATGACATCATAACCAACTGATCTGCAGGAAATGTAAATGACATCATAACCAACTGACTCACAGGAAATTATACTTATACCATAAGTAACTGATCTTGCCCTTGCTGAAAGCAACTGTAATACAGAATCTAGATGCCTTGTATGGTTATTACATGACAGCATAATACAAGGCATATGAATGAATACTTGATATGCAATATTATTGCATATGAAAAAATGTGTTTTACAATACGGTTACACCATCATACACCAACATGCTGCAAACGTGGCCCCTACAATAATGAAAATGCAATTTCATATGTTGTTTATATTTCTTCATTAGAGCGACTTGTTTGTGCTGCTATATCCGTTTATAGGACATGGTTCATGATAATTAACTAGCTCTACCAATTTCTTATAACTTATTCGTTAAATATCTTTTAATATGAGTCTAAATATTTCTCCCTAAGTTCTTTGTTGGGTTGCTGCATATTTTTAACTTTTTATTATTTATATTCCATTATACATTTCTTGTTCATCTTAGATTACATGTTTGAATATTTTAATATGGACTACATGTTCACCAGCATATGCAGTTACATGCCATATATGTCCTATGTGGTACCTTGATTGCTTGATTGTTTGCTGATGGATGCTGTATTTTCTGTGGTTAGTCTCAGGACGTGCTCTATTGGCTGGTTTTTTGTGGATTTGTTGGGGCTTGGTTGGCAGGGAACTTAGGGTGGATAATTGTGTTTAAACTCATCCATGTTTAGATCATTAATAGAAGGAACTCTCGTGATACCTTTTCGATTTTCGAATAACGCCAGTCCTAACCAGTGCAAACTGCTGAATTCCACTAAATCTTGTATAAGGACTGCCATTTGAGCTTCAAATTTAAGCTCAGAACTCACTGATTAAACTTTTCTTAGCAAGCTGTCAGTTTGGTTCATCATGCCCCTTAAATTAGCCTTTTCCATATCCACTATTTTTAAAGAATTCCACACATAATGATAGAGAAAATGTTGTTGAAACAAATATAACATAATAGACTACACGGCGTAGTCATCTTACCACTTGATAATGGTTAATATCTCTTACCTGAGTAATCTTTTATTAGGAACAGCCCGCATGGTCTTTAGCACATTTTTTTAACTGATGATCTCACCAATGCCCTAGTAATGACACCAAATATATGGCAAGCCTGCAAAACGTCTGTTGTCATATCATTACTTAATGGTATTTGACCAACCTTGTGTTATCCTGAATGCCCAAGATGTTCAAACACGAGCATTGACATGAACCCACTTCACTGTAAATGGTACAGGTAACTGCGAACTCTGTATCAACCATGTTACCCATGCTAGGCAGCTCGGGTATTGGCATTAGGCATGGGCACATGTAATTGCATGCCAGCGATCGTACAGACGTACACGGGTTCAATAGTAGTAGTGCTTGCTTGGACACATGACTGATGGACAATTATATGTTAGACATGCATCGGCATATAAACAAGAGGGCATTGTCAAATGTTCTGGCATCATGACAATAGACCACCAGGTATGTTATGCCACAATGTGAAGGCAGTTTTGAACTACCAGAATAAGCTAAAATTCATGAGTTTGATGTTTATAATTCTTTGTACAAAAAGAAGATTCTGTTTTGCACCTCAGATTGTCATTCTGTTTTGCAGCATTAAGATTCAGCTTATTCTACTCATGTAGTAGTGTAAAATCAGTTCCTAACTTGAGAATGAAGAAAGAAAAACTATTTGCCTTGTCATCCTTTTCACTCTCAAGGACATCATTTATTCTGAATAATTGAGGAATTAAAGTTTGAAAAATAAAGAAGTTGGACTTTCAACCTGAGCAAGAACTTACAGATATAATAATGAATATCAACAGGTTAGCTTTTGGAAAAATTAAGCAAAACCAACCTAATCATTGGTCTTTCTTTGCCCATACCTTTCTTTTTTCTACCTGCTTCTTTATCTTCTTTTTGGTAGTTTAAGACTCAAAGCAAACTAAGACTAGAATTTTAGGCTTCAGAGTAAATATTGTAATTCTTTAGACAACATTTATGGTTCTTCCAGGTATGTTCGGCCAGCATTTCTGTATGATTGATTCGAGTTTGTTGCTGAGTAGGATTGCAGATATGAAGATCTTTCCTTTTTCTACCATCTAATACATGTTTGTTTTTGTGCCAGCGGAGTAGATGGGGAGGCTGCTTTGGTGGGCTGTCCTGTTTTGGATCACAAAAGAGAGGGAAACGAATTGTTCCAGCATCCCGCATTCCAGATGGAAATGCATCGAGCAGTCGTGCAAATGGGCCCCAATCTGCTGGAATTTCTAATGAAAATACAACACTGAACCTATCCATTCTTGCTCCACCTTCATCTCCAGCATCTTTTACAAACTCTGCACTCCCATCGACAGCTCAATCACCCAATTGTTTCTTGTCAATATCAGCAAACTCCCCTGGAGGACCATCGTCAACCATGTATGCAACCGGGCCATATGCTCATGAGACTCAATTGGTCTCACCACCTGTGTTCTCTACCTTTACTACCGAACCATCAACTGCTCCGCTAACCCCTCCACCTGAGCTTGCTCACCTTACAACTCCCTCATCCCCGGATGTGCCTTTTGCTCGTTTTCTGTCATCATCACTGGATCTTAAAGGTGCTGGGAAAGAGAATGGAGTGCATTATTTGTCATCAAGTTATGGGGTCGGAAGTGATCTCCAGGCAACTTATCCACTTTATCCTGGCAGTCCTTCTAGTAGCCTTATATCACCTGCTTCAGGAACTCCGAGAACTGGGCTATCTTCACCTTTTCCTGAGCAGGATACTCCCGCACAGTGGGATGCTTCTGCATCTGCACAGGACTCTCCCTGTTCCAGGAGTGGGGCATCAAAGCTGTTTGGGCTGAATTCCTCTACAACCAGGAATTTCATTATGTGTCCTGATTCCAGCTTCTTTTACTCTGCAACATCTGCGCAGTTTCATTTGGACCAGGCACAACAATCGTATCCTCATGCTGGAGGGAGGCTTAGTATTTCCCGGGAAGCAGATGTCTACTCCAATGGTGGAATTAGACATAATAAAACTTGCAAACAGGACGTGGAAGAGATTGAAGCCTACAGAGCGTCCTTTGGATTTAGTGCAGATGAGATCATCACTACCCAGAACTACGTGGAGCTATCTGATCCTGTTGACGTGTCCTTTACCATCACTCCATTAGCAAATGGTAAAACTGGAATGGAGCAGTACTCTGCTATTGAGTTTGATGACAAAGGGAAAAAGGTGTCCGATTTGCTGAATCCTGTTAGTCCAAAGCAAATGGCAGTTCATCATGCAGTTGCAGTTGATGGCAAATCTGATCAGAACAACATGCATGCAGGTAACCTTTCCACCATGCTTGCATTTCCGCAATCAATAGTACAAGTTTCTTCTGTTACTGAAAATTGACCCAAAGGGAAACACTGCTGTCTGGATCATACAGCATCAGATGAGTTATTTTCTATTGTATATCATATAAGCCCTTGTCTTTTATACTCTCCAGGTGCCGAACCAAATATTCAGTCTGAAGACACCTCTGCTGTAGCTGATGCTAACCCTGACACAGATGGTGGCGAGGACAGTGACTCGAGGGCCTCGGACCACCGGCTCGGCAAGCGAGCTCAGCCGAGACAGTCTTTCTCAGATGCAGAAATTGATTATCGAAGGGCAAGAAGCTTGAGAGAAGCCAATGCCCAACTGGCCTGGCGGAAGACATTGCCTTAGCTGACCTGCTTCCTTGCTAGTTAGGGAGGGATGATCAAACTTGGTAGTCATGAACCTGTTAGGGCTGGCATGGAATATGTTCTCTGTTGACTCTGTGCATGGCGATTAGTTACTGATGATGCAGGGCTATGGTGGTGATCGGTGAATTCTACTTCTGATTCCGATCCTGTAGCTATAGGTCTTAGCCTGTGATGATTAAGACACTAGTCCTGGTGATTGTTGTATAGAACTCTCTTGTGGGCTATATGCTATTTATGAGATGTAGCTGTTGTTTTCAGGAATGCTAACCGTACAAGAAATCTGCAGCTCACGATGACACTGAATTGCTTTCCTACTTCTGGGGCCATCCAATCGATTTCTTCAATACAAGACTCACTCATGTCCTACGACTCTCCAGAGTTTTGATTTCATGTTTGATTAAGGTTGCAGCTTTGCTTCACATGCCCGACTCTGCTTGCTTAAGTTTGCGCTGTTATCAGAGACGATTCATCAACCTAAACGTCAGATCTAAAGTTACTATTGGAAAGGGTATTTAACGAGCAATTTCGCCATCTTGGATCCAACTGTCTGGAAGGCCAACACATGCAACAAAAAACCTCCGTTCAAAAAGGCCAACACATGACACAAAAAATTCATTACTGACTGTTAATCGAGGAAGCTGGATACTGGCAAACAAAATCGTATAAAAACCCTGGTACAAAACGTAATTACTTCTTCCCTCTCGGGTCCCTAACAGAGCATGACATGACCAAATAATAAATCTCTGTAACATCAGATACTAGAAGCTGCAGTAACTAATAAGAACCCCCTAATACGAGTAGAAACCTTCTCCCCACGCACTTCGATCACTTGAGGGGTATGAACCTGGAAGAGTGAGTGGCACCAATGCCGGGCCTTCCATGCTTCACGGGCTTATATGAGATGGAGAACTCCGCCAAGTAATGACCAATCATCTCAGGCTGCAGGCAAGAGAGATGAAAACACATTCATTTAATTGCAGGAATAGACCCTCCTGAACAACCAGCATCTTTTATCTTATGGTGAACTCATACAAAATTTGAAGTTAAATCACCAAAAAGGTCTTTGATATATCACATGATACTATTGGGTCCAGCAGAACAATGATATGTCAAACATACAGGACAAACATGTCTCAAAAGTGTTCCCACCGTGTCGGAACAAAGAAGTTACCTTGATTTCAACTTGGTTGAAGGTTTTGCCATTGTAGACACCAATGATGCTCCCAATCATCTCCGGGACTATTATCATGTTTCTTAGATGGGTCCTCACAGGCTCAGGTTTTTCACCAGGGGGAGCATCACGCTTCTGCAAATTTTTAAATCGTAACAAATAAGAGAATATGTGAGGAAAGACAAATACAAAAAGAAATATATGAACAATCACAGGGTTCTATTTGCAAAAAGAAGGGCAAATGAATGACAACTATGGTCAAGTTGGCTAATTTTGCTTTGCAATTTGCAGATGACAATGACCAGATATGGCTTACTACATGAAAGAGCGAGCACATATGGATCCCAAAAGTTCCAAAGATCAAAGAGTTGGCTCTGACACATCAAATGTCCTTTTCGTATGCATTCACCACACATCAGGATTAAACTAACTCATTTTGATGGTGTTCTGTTCATTCTTTAAAATTGCCTATATGAAAGTATATTTGATTTCTATCGTACAAAGAACAGCCCATATATTAAGCACATATATTTTCTAGGTGTGCAGGAAAATTTAGTAGATATCTATCATGCAATAATTCTACTTCGCAGAAAACCTTCACATTATATACATCATATCAGTGACTAAGCATAACTTATTTCCCCTCCAAGGATTCCCTTCATAATATTCTTGCCTGACTAATTACATTTCAAACTCAATGCAGGAAACACTATACTAGTGACAATCAAGTACGAGGTAACAACGAATCTGTTTGTCAATGTTTTACTGTAATATCACAGAAATGTGTTCTTTCAAATGTTTGCATCCAAAAATATGTCTTTTAAGTTTCCAGAAATAAATAGGGATATGGCTTGAGCTTAATCATATCCAAATAATCAAATAACATGCTTCGAATGCATTAAAACATCTTCTTTGGAAACAACCAAGTAACCTTGATTGGTTTTCCCCAAATTTATCCAAGATTGATAATGTTCCTATGTTTCAGAACTATAATTTTTTTGCAAGTAAAATCTCAAATATAAACATCCATTACTTTAAAATCTCTAAAAACCCACAGCTTTATATCAAAACTTTCATCTGAGCAATTTTCACTAGTTGGATATGTTGCTTTCTAGCAGCCGAATGTTCTGACCACAAAGCATAACAGATCCTGAAATTTTCTTACAAAACTATTATTCCCTTATTGTGATATAAGAAACCAGTAAATCCCACTTATTATCGCCCCACTCTAATTGAAAAGTAATATCTACTTACTATTTTCCTTCATGTCGAACAGTAGATCTAAAACATTAACACTAATTTATAACATTCGGTTGTAATATTTAGTATCCCATGGTATCTTTATAAATACCTATAAAAAATCGACATTGATATCATTTTCCAATGTTCATCCATGCAGATTGTTTCCAAAACCAATGACAGCAGTCCGATCACAACTTCCATGGTGTATATATTGTGGTTCGTTGTTGGTGCAATTTGTCATGAGGTGCATTTATCACAAACCATCCATTGTCTCTCGTGCCCTATTTGTTTCAATATTGCATATGGATATTTCTGACAAATATGTTGGAAAATGTTCTTTAGTTTGTTCTTCCACTTTGTTCAATATTGTAGAGATACCCTTCTCTCAATTTTGTAGGATTTTTTAAATAAGAAAAGATAAAGCTACTTTCTACTTCGGATTTCTACTTTAACAGACAAAAAGGCTAACAAAATCACATGACATAATGTGCTGGCATCCTACGACCGAAAACGAAGCTAATTACGCAACACAAAAGCTGGCATCATACCGCCTTACGAAGCTTCTTGATCAGAGCCATGGGCTTCCTCTTCAGCCCTCTTTGGAACCTGCACGCATCCTCCCACCATTAGACGATACAAGCACATCACCACATCCAAAAACGGAACAAGAGACTCAAAAGAGAGAGATCTAAACCTTCTGCGAGCACGAGCATCGAAGAGCTTGACGAGCTCATCGAGGCCCATGTCGAGGAGCTGATCGAGGTCGACGCCGCGGTAGGAGAACTTCCTGAATGTCCTCTTCTTCGGCTGTGCCCCTCCCACATCCAACGCGTCCGAAGCATCCGCCTGCTCTTCACCCACGATGAAAGAGAACGAAATCATCAACCGCATCAAAGAGATCGATCGATCGATCGCACAATATCACAGAACCCATCGACCCAACAGAAGAAAAATCTAAAGATTCAAAGCGAAGGCATTCGTAGTAACCATTGCCACCGAGTTCTTCTCCTCTCCGAGACGGATTAGGGTTTGCGGCGGTCGTCAGACGCAGCGTAACAAACACCAAGATTAGGGTTGTTGCCATCAGAAAGCGGGCCTCATATTTATAGGTGTGAGAACCTGTGCTGTCTAATCTGCATTTACCACCTTACCCCTAAACCTTTCGTGACACATTGAGGTCAATATAGTCTTTTAACCATCGGCCCACTGGGCCGGCCTCTTGTTTCTGTCCCACAGCAAGCATAACTCTATGTCTCAATTGAATTGAAAGGGAATTGTTTTGATTGATATAACATGCTAGAATTGAGTTCAGTTGTTGTTCTGCAAATCCCTCTATTGGGTTAGAATTAGAAATGTAATAAGAAGAAGAATAACATTTTAAATGCATATATATTTTTATTTATATATAGTTTGTGCTAGGTTGAATTCAAGATTGATCGGGTCGGGTCGAACTCAGATCCGAATCGAATCCTTGACACCACAAGGGCAAAAGTGAAAATTTAACGCATTTTGCATAGCACATAGTCTAGTTATGAATAAGAACTTTCCTCTCGGCACCCGTGAAGTCTACCGCGCCGGCCTGGTTAGCCGCCCACGTGTCTCGACGATTTCCTGCAGTCACTTGGCAGGTAGTTGAGCGGGTAGCACTAATAGTGGTGAAAATTAATTTATGCCAAGCGCAGTTTCCAAATAATTAAATGAACGGGTCCGGTTCGATCACGTCGCATGCGAGATTGGATCAAATGCCGTCAGTCGTTGGGTGGCGGTATCAGCGGTCGACCAAGACGTTTTCGATCAATCAACCAAATCGATCAATTTTGAGTCGATCAACGAACCAAATCGATCGATTGGCTAGTCTAAATCTTGCTGACGTGGCTCGTGCTGGGTTAGTTATCATTAACTATAGTTTATAGAAAGGGAAGCCCTTCTTCGTTCTCTCCAGAGGGAAGTCGAACTTTTCTTCCTCGTCCTTTTCTCTCTATTCGTCAAGTCGAGAGCACACTTGTGCTTTGGTTCTTCGTCGTCAGTATGGCGGCACCTGGGAGTAGCTCGTGTTCCGTGCAATCCTGCCACCGACTCCTCCTTGTGGCCTTTGTAGCCCTATGTTCGGCTTCTTCGTCTTCACATGGTGACCGGTCTCCCCTCTCCGTCGTCTCGCGCATCGCCTTTGGTTCCTGCTCCAACCAGAGTGCGCCGCAGGTGCCATATCTACCTGATTTCTCTTAGGGAATCGATGACTCTGGTCGCCGCGATCGCAAAACTACCTTCTTTTTCTGCATGTAGTTATTTTTGGCTTATATGGACCGCTTGATTGTTGATGCTATGGTTGCCGGTCTTGAGACAGCCGATTTGGGATGCGATCGTTGACTTCGATCCCCAGGTTTTCGTTTGGTTAGGGGACAACATTTATGGCGACAACAAGCGCCCCTTCAGGGTGCTGGGAAAGGAGAGGACCATCGGGCCGTGGAAGAACGTGCCCAGATTCTTCCCCTCGACGGAACAGGAGATGCGGAGAAGGTACCAGCTGGCTAAGAGCAATCCGGGTTACTCTAAGCTGAGACAGACGGCTCAGGTGGATTCCTCACACCCTGCTGCTTCGTTTGCAGGCTCCAATTCATTTTTTCTATTAGATTTGAGTGTTTTCCATAGTAAAGAATTCCCTCTTTAGATGGCAATATGAATACAAATGCAATTTCGTATAAAGGTTTAGATGGTCCGTGTCTATAATATCAAGAACTTATCTTTCTTTGCAACATTGCCTATCGAACTGAATTTACTTCGTTGGTATTCTCATTTTCTGTCATGTCATCATTGATTTTCTAGTACGTTTAATTATAGTGCTACCTTTATTTTGCATGCTAATATGTCTGCAATTCTACAGCATACACATGAACTCGAGTTAGTCTAAGCTTGAAAGCATCTCTGCTTCAACAAGAAAAATGATCACAGCTTCCTTTAATATAGCTTTAAGTTTTTAGAAGGATACTTACGAAAAAGGAACCTTAAAAATGGATTTTAGAATAAAATAGAATAAACCTCTTTAACGAACTTTCTTAGATTTACATTGTGTCGCATGTGCTGGTAAGGTATTATAGTTAAAATCTAGGCATCAATTTCTGATGATATTAGGTCTGTGATGCATTTGGATATGTAAATTTTCATGTTTTCTAGTGGTGAAACTCTTGCATAGTGGTCAGCACTTAACTGGGCCAACTGGCATTTCTATTTCTGTTATCTGTGTGTAAGAATATTATCCATCCTTCTGTCTTGTTGCTGCACTATATCACCAGATCTATAGCTATTGCAGGTAATTGGCACATGGGATGACCATGATTATGGGTTGAATGATGCAGGAAAAGAATTCAGTGGGAAAAATACAAGCCAGAGGCTCCTCTTAGATTTTCTGGATGAAGCTGATGATAGTCCCCGGTAAGCACTCACAAATAGCTGATACAAATTTGTCACTCTTCCCAGTGTTGTTTGGAGTTGGTCATTGATCAGTCACAACATCAAGAAGCAATATTATGTCACATATTATCTCTTTAATGCTCCTAAAATGTACATAACAAAACATAGTTCACAGAAAAATGGAGAAAGTTAAATGCATTTTAATTGTCTGTCCTATCTACTGAATGTGACTTACAATGTCGTAAGAAAAACGTGCTTACCTTTGTGTCCTCCATTAATTTTGTTTTATATTTTTCATGTAAATGTAACTTGGTAAGATGTCTTTACATGTTGTTGTCTAGCAGCAAGGTTCTGATCTAGGTGATTGCTCCTATCAAAAGCCTGATATGACAACACTTATACCTTGGCTTCTTTCTTGTAGCCGACAACAAGCTGGGGTTTATACCTCATATTTATATGGTCCCAAGGGAAAACAAGTAAAGGTATGTTAATGAACCTCGGAATTTGCCAAAGGATTGTTGTTATTGTTGAAGGTTCCCTTCCAAGCTCATCATGTCATATTTAATTGTTTAACATGATAAAAATTTAAGCCTCGTGGCAGTCTTTTTTACTTATATTGGCTGAAGACAATCTATTGGTTACTCTCTTGGACTTTATCAAACAAATTGAATGGCCAGTACCCCAAACATGTAGCTCTTGGACCTTGAATATGTTATAAACATGAATCTATTTCATAGTTTGTCTTTCTCATCATGTATTTCTTTTTTGTATAAGATGCAATATGAAAAGATAAAAATTTAAAAAAATTATGAAATTTAGATACAGATTTGGCTGTACTACAGGTTATTCTTTTGGATACGAGATATCACAGGGACCCCCTGTCCAGTGATGGAACTATTTTAGGCGATTCTCAGTGGGAGTGGCTAGAGAAAGAATTGAATGGTCCCGAGTCAGAAATTACAATCATCGTATCTTCTATTCAGGTACTAGATATTTATGCATTTCTTTACACTACAACCTTTTTTTTATAAACCTTCGATATTGAATTTGAAGATAGTTGTGGGGCTTCAACATTTTTTTTTGCAATTAAATGCATTTGAGCAATTCACGCAGATAGCTCTAGATTGGCACATGCGATAATTGTTATATGTATCCAGATGGCTTTTCTTACAATCATGTTCCATACTTAATTTTATTCTCCTATCAATGTTTGATCTATAGGTCTTAAGGTTGAAAAGGTGTTGCCCACTGCCAGAAACTAGGAACCTCATCACTACTCAGTTATTGCTATAAAATTATGAAACTAGTATCTAATATTTTGATTGATTCTGCCTGTTGTATAAAACCGTTTTCCATGGATAAAGAGGATATTCTAGATCTTTTTTATGTGTTACTTGTCCTTAATTTATTAAAAATGAACAAAGTATCAACTATTTGCTCCATTGTTGGAAAGAGTAAATGCCTGTGGTGGGAGCAGCTGTCTTTTGCAATAGCATGATCAAAATCTTGTAGTATGGTAAAAGAAAATTTTCATGATCCAGAAAATGACAACTCAGGTAACATGATTTAAAACTTGTAACAGTGAATGACTGCGAACAACTTTGCATAAATCCATATGCAAAAATTTTCATAACCTTAGTGTGCAAAATTAGGGAAAGATGTATTACATTAATCCACAAATTTCAAGAAAGGACAGTATGAATAAAGAACAATTGGCTATAAGTGGTCGAAAAAAATACACTGCTTGATTTCCAGCACTATTCTAGGAAGGGTCTAGTATATACCAATGATTGTTGTAACACCTGAAACAATATGGTATGGGCGGTACGTACTGGTCTGAGCATGGATTGATATGTGGACCTCCCCTGTTTTAGGTGGTTCGGTTCAAATAATAAAAAAAATTAAAAGTGGTCAGCCCCAGTTCATTTTAGCATAAAAAAAGAACAAAAAGGGAAATTAGGGCTCATGAATGTGAGGTCTCTTCTCACGTACGATGTTGCATTCCTTGTCGTTGTCTCTTCGCCGTTGCGATGGTACTGCTTCTTCACAGGTATGTTGCTGCTGTACTTATCCTCTTCTTTCTTCTTTTTCTTCCTTCTTCCTTTCTCCTTTTTCCACCTCTGTTCCTCCACTGCCCCTTCCTCTTCACCCTCTTTTTCTTCCTCGTCGAAACACTGGTATGCACCGGCATGCCATGTGCCGATACACTAGTACAAACTGGTACGTACCATTCCAGTAGATTGCTGAAACGGGTTTGGTACCCGAAAAGGCAAAACTTGGTATATACAACTTAATTGCCTAACCCACCAGACCACCCACCTGCCAGAGAAACAAAAAACAGACTAAATTTCTTTTTTTTTTTTTGGCAAGGTTCCAACTTTTGGCTTACTATCTATCTTTGACCTTGCTCTGACATGGTATTTACACCTCATAGCATTCTTTTTCTGTTGTGTTTTCACTAATACTTCTTTGTTCAGGTAATATCAAATCTTTCTGCGACTACAGGCCCATTGTTTCATACAGAGTCCTGGGGACGGTTTCCAAAGGAGAGAGAGCGGTTGTATAAATTGATACATGATAGCAAGGCAGGTCACCTTTTATCTTCTGAAGATATCTTGTTCTGTAAGTTGTGATATCATGTTTGCTATTGGTTATTATGACATGTCAGACTGCTGGATGCTGTTCTTTGGTATTGTGGATAACATGGTGCAATGTAACTGGTTGTGATTCATCAAGCTTGATCTCTGCATTAAGAAGACTTTTGTTTCCGCTTTCCAAGTGTTCTGTTTAGCATAATTCATATTGAGTGGCTGCCTGTATCCCAAAATCTGTAGACGATGCAGCAAAAGAATTTGCTAGTGGCTGCATATGCAGCATTAGTTGTTGTATTAGTGGTTGTTAGATTTCCTGCACTTTGTTATTTACATTTTGTATTATATAAAAAGGTATTATGATGTGGTAAAATACTGGTCTTTTACATCGGCAAATGCCAACATATGGAACAAATGCAATAATCCAAACAGTTTCGGAGTTTCTCAGTATGCTATATTTTACTAATCTCTTCTCTATCCTGCTAGCTAAAGTTGCAATTTCATGAGACCCTGGCATAGAAGCTTTGGATTCTGAATAAGCAAAAGAAGTTATGAAAATGGTTGGAAAAAATATTGCAGTAATTAAAAATTGGAAAGAATATACAAGGTAATGCATGTAAGATTGTTAAGACATTATGCAACACAATTAAAAGGGTAGTTAGTTAGGAATTAACATGTTTATGTTCTTCTTGATGTGAAAAGGATATAGAAGGGACAAGAAATAAAGATAGACAAAGACCCAACATGATATATTAGTAATTCGTTTTAGTATCTTAAGTTTGTTGATTATAATTCATATATTCATCTCGAAATATGTAATTAACTTAAAGGTTCTTGCTACTCTGTTAAATGAGAAGAGTAGAAATGATTTGGTTGGAAAGAAAATAGGTGATGATTTTATAAGAATCGACGGAATTCTGTTTCTTTTCTGAGTTGAAAAAATAAAATAAAACACAAATGTGGATTTATCTCTTTCAGAGCTCAATAATAGTTTTTTAACCTGAGATGTTGTTTTTAATCATGCAGAGAAGTGGAATATTCTTTATAAGTGGTGATGTTCATTTTGGAGAGATTACCCGTTATGACTGTGGCTGGCAGTATCCACTGTATGACATAACCTCAAGTGGACTTACTCAGGCTATTGAGAAGGTTGTGCCTCCATTTTTTGCTTTTGCTGTGAGAGCTATAGCTTGGTTGACGCCTACTACCATGAGAGTTTCTTCAGTGAAATGCCGATACAAATCATGCACATATGGTATGACAGCCAACGATAATATTGGAAGCACCATTTTTACTGATAGCTTGGTTTGACTTTATGTAATTGTTATTGAGCACTGTACCCTCATATGGTCCATAGGTTGGAACGTAGGTATTTGTTTTATGTAACTTAATTTTTTTCATCTTGAGTGCATTTTCATGAATTATTTCAGAAGAAAACTGAACATCATGCTAATTGAACAAGTTGTTTCATGAATCTATAATTTTGTTCATCATATTATAGTAATTCAATTTAAAACTTCAGTTTTGAACTAAAAAGTTAATTGTAGTTGGGACTGCTGCACGGAGATTAAATTTTATGAATCTCAAATATAACTGGACCTATTCTATTTTCTCATTATTAGTGTCATAATTCTCACTTAAAGCAATCAGCTGTCAATAAAAAAAATGATGCATTTTTGGTGGAATTTTTTCAGCTCAGCCAAATTTTGGCGCAATTCAGATTGATTGGGATGTTGTACCACAAAAAATCAAAGTTGAAGTGAGGGGCATAAATGGAGATCCTGCTATTGCTGTAGATATTTTGCTTTCTGATCTGCAACCCAGGAACACAAACACTTTGGAAGGAGCATGGCAACACAGACGTCACTGCTCCCTCGAAATAGATCTTCCATGGTTTTGGAGACATTCTTTTGCCTTTACTTTTCTGGCGTTGGTATCTGGTATGCACTTCTCATTTTTTCATTGCTATTAGGATGGAAATAGTATTTAAGATACATGTGGGTAATATGCTATTACGTTGTTACATTGAGGATATAAATGATGTTCATGATTGAATTATGGTGCACCATAAAAGGGCATGGAGTCTTATCACAGAGAAATAATTTAAATTTTAGATCAATGACCAATAAGGATTTGTCTCATAATTGTTATGTTGTTGACCTATTTTAAAAATGTTTTAATGCTGCACCATAAAAAGGTCACACAACAAAGATTTGTCTCATAATCATTATTAAATTATGGTGCACACTGTAAAAGGGCATGTTGTGTGAATTTAGGGAAATCACATGGTAACCATTATCTTACAGAAAAAAGCCAGAATTGTCTTTGTAAATTACAATTTCTGCACTATATAATAATAATAATAATGATGATGATGATATCCTCTTGTGACACTGTTTAGCCTTTGCTGCCTCCATTTGTCCCTCCTTCACTACAACCAGAATATTTTTGGATTGAAAATTTTCTTTTTCTGTTTAAGTGGAACTTCTTTGTTTCAGATGGAACTACATTTTAAATTCAAGTGACTGACTTTGGCATTCTAGCTGGTCCTAAATGATAGAGAGATGGAACCTATGATGGATTCCTGTTGAGTGTCTCAACTACTGCTTTTCACTTTCATACTTTTTAGAGTGCCATTGCAGCATTTGGCTCATTACATTTCACTTTCACACTTTCAACCTTGCTATTTAGAGCTGAATTTAGAGAAATGTACAATCTCACCAGAAAAAATCTCTCTTTTAGTTCTGGAAATTGAATCACCAAGTTTACATCAACTTATCCTCACTTAAGATTTTCCTGAAAATATTTTGCTTTCTTATAATTTAGTGATATTAGTTAAGTATCCTGACCTTTTCATTAAGTTCTAGTTTATGGCACATTGTGATTGGTTGCTATTCAAAGAGTTTCAATAGTCTTGACAAATCTCAAGAAGGTGCTATCATAAGATCAGTGTTTGCTTCTACCTATGCAGCTTTTATCGCAACATTATATGGCCAAATAAAAGTTTGAATTTGTGTTATTTTTGCTTGGCACTTTTTTGGATTTGTATTGACTTACGACTGCAAACAAATAAAGCTTACATGCTTACCTCAGTTAAATAATGGATAAGGCTTGGTTGTTTATGGGTATTGATTAGCTAAATGTACAACAATTCTACATTTCACTCTACATTGTTTCATCAAATATAAGCACCGAGTATTGCTTAGCATGTGAAAGTCTTATATTGTTTATGGAGAACTTTTTTTTGGTGAAGTTCCTGCACAGTTTACAATGCTATGCGCATAGTTTTTCATTCATATTTGAAATAAAATTCTGTTAAATATTTTCTTAACATCTCTTAATATTCATCGCAGTTCTTATTATCGCTTTCGTTCTTTTCGCCTATACCATTGTATCGGTTAGCAAGAAGTTCCTCCGCAAGTTTAAGATCGATTGACAACACACGCAGCAGATCAGAAGAGAAGAATTCTGCCTCCATCATCATTGTCGTCGTCTTGGTATTCTTAGCTTGCAATTCTTAGAAGAATGGGAGGCAGTCTTCATTCTCCTACTAACATCACTTTGCTCTTGATTCAGACCATGGTTCAACTTGAATCATGAGTTCGTTTGCCTTGATGGCACTTGAAGGCTTATTATACATTTGCTTCAGAACAATGTTCATGCTCTTTCTCTTCTCCAGCATCTCACGCAGGATTATTTGAAGCATTGATTGAAACTTTGCTGTTCTGTGAATAATACTTTGTTATCTTACATGAAAAACAGAAAGAAAGGTTTGGAAAAATAGAAAATTGGGAGTATTATTTCATTTTACAAGAAGGAAAAAGATCACATCATCAGATTAGATCACAATTTAGTACACTGTTAACCTGCAGAACCTAACAGTATGATCACATAGAATAGCCTTGAGATTTACCAGTGCACTGTTAACCTGCAGAACTTATTCCAGAGCATGACAGTGTTGATCTGCAGATACAATTTTATTTTCATATAATTCTAATTAATACAACAAGTTTCTGCATTTCACTTCAACAACATGCTGGGAAATAACAAAGAACCCCTTGAATCATATCTTCATCTCATGGCACCAGTAATATCTCATTCATTCTTTTATTTGTCTGATTCATAAAAAATTACTGAGCTTAAGTTTAGATCATGATCTTCATGTGTGTCGGCAAAGACGAGAAAAATTTCAACCATCTCAGACAATCGCTCGTCCGAATTTTGAAAACAAACCTGCAGATCATAAACTAGCAGAGGAAAACCAACAGAGGAAACAATCCAAGAGGCACAAGAAAATAAAGCATTCACAAAGTCAAGCTTGGAACATAAAATGTGCAAAATCCATTATCAAATACTCATTACATCTCTCAATAACCTTTCCAACTTGTACTCTGATATAACACAGCCTGAGCTACTTTATGGGAAGAGATGCAAAGAATCATCCAAGATGAGAAATATTTCCACAAGTTTCTCAGTTGCCCTCAATCTATAACACATACCAATCTCATGATGCCTACAGCTGCACCTCATCAGAATTCTGGTCATAATAAACTTGAACAATTAGTAATGTGCTTATAAGAGATGCATCAGTTTATTAGCACCATAAACAATCCTCAAGAACACACAATAAATTCATTTGCCAGAACTACTACTACTACTTTACCAGTATTGATGAGGAACAAATTGGAGATGCTGAAATCAACAGTGAGGAAGATAAGAAGTTTGTGAGTACCAATTATCTTGAGGAAGAGATCAAAAAGGTCCTCGCGAGTTCTTTTTCCCGAAGAAAGCATCCCAAACTTTCGGCGAGAACGGTCCTTTCTTGTTCAAATGCTCTCGAACAGCTCTTTCGTCAAGAACAAAACCTCTTTCCCGCAACCTTATGATGACATTCTCCCCTTCTTCGACCCCCTTCTCTTGACAGAATCCATCCACCAAACCGATTAAAGTCGCCACACTCGGTGCATGCCCAGCATCCAACATCTCCATACAGAACTCAACCGAATCCTCCAACTTCTTCCCTTTGCATAAACCCTGAATGAGAACCTTGAAGCTGAATGCGTTTGGCACGATTCCGTTCTTCTGCATTTTCCTGAAGATCCTCTTTGCATCGTCAAATTTTGCCCCCTTGCAGAATCCTTCCACTACGGCAGTGTAAATCACAACCTCCGGTATCGTGCCCTTCTCACGCATTAATCCGAACAGCTTCATGGCATCTTGAACCAGCCCGTCTTTGCAGAGCCCGTCGAGCATGGCGACAGCATTAGGTATAAGCCCAGTCTCCTTCATCTTCTTGAAAATCTCGTCGGCGTCTTCTGGCGGCGCCTCCTGCGCAGCAGACTCGGCCACTGCAGGCTTTTGATCGGCTTCTTCCACCCTGTTACGCCGACCAGCTTCTCCGAAATTAATTTTCTGCGCCAGGGAATCCCCAATTCGATCGCTTCTTCTCTCCTCACCACCATCGTCCAATTCCTCTCCCCTGAATCCGCCAGCAGACCGTGACGGCGATCTCTGTCGGGCAGTCCCGAATCCGTCCATATTGTCTTGACGACCAAAATCCTCTCTAGGAGTGTCTCTCCTCACGGGTCCGTTGCGGGACCGCCCGCGAAGACCTCTACTCCCGTCGCCGAACTCCAGGCCAGGAAAAAGATCACCTGACGCGATGTCAATGCTGTCATCCCCTCGGAAAGACGGCTCCTTTCCACTCTGTTGGCCACCGCCCAACGGTGGCCTAGCGGAGGGTCGACGCGAAGGGGCTTCCTGATGTGTCATCTCTTGCTCTTCACCGCCGTCGTCCCCGAAGTTGAGACTTCGAAGGAAGAGATCCTCGGAGCCGTCGTCCCTGCGCCTCCCGCCTCTCGTCGGTCCGCCAGGATCGTTATTCGTACTGAAGTCGATCGCCGGCAGACATCTCCCCAAGATCGAAGCTTTAGGCAGATGGCAGAGCTGCCTCGCGAGATTGTTGAATAGAAGCTTGGAGAGCGTCCTCTGCATGGCTGTCTTCGACCGGGAAGAGAGACCGAGGTAGAGACTCTCAGGATTATTGAAGGTTTGGGTTAGGGTTTTGAGGTAAAAGAAACAAGAACGATTCTTACCTTCCAGGACTTCCCCCGTTCTATACCCGCATTCGACCAGAGAAAAGAACGGGACCCACATTGGGGCCCCACCAGGGTCTAACGTTGCATATCAGGCTTTGTCGTCTCGTCGGGCCAGTTTGAGATCAGATCTGCCCGGGAGAGGATGGCTCCACCCCACCTCCTTGCTGGGACAACCCAGTGGATTCAGCGGAAAATTGATTCTTTGAGCAGGCTTCGATCACACTGGATGTTGGTGTTCTGAAGAACAAGGTTAGCAATTCTGTGCAAGCAAAGTTCTTTTCATTGGGCAACTGTGGGTCAGTGTTTATGCCTCTCGTAGTTATGTTCTTGATGTTGTGATTCGAGTCCTCTGTCTCCTAGTTTCATTGTAATCGTGGAAAGTAGATTAGGAATTCGTGGACTAGATTCACTTTGGAATAGATAAGAAGAAGAAAGGACGAATTTTGGCTACTCTTGTTGTGTTGGTCTGTTTCTGCCACCATTGGTATTTGATTTCTTGATCATTTTCCAGTTCTTAATCGACACGCCAATGGTTGATTTTAGATGTATTAGTTTGAGCCACTCAATCTAAAGCCACATTGCTGCCTGCACTGTGTCTTCAGGAAGGATGGAAAGGATGACAGACCAGAAGCACAGCATTGTTGAGTTCTTCAAGGAGAAAGGGTTTGATGATGAAAGCATAAACAGACTGATGAGGAGATGCAATCGGCTAGAGAGCACAGGAAGGGGAAGAGCTACTGAAAGCTGGGATTATTTGGGGAGCATTGGGATTCAAAAGAGGAGGCTTCTTTACGTTGTCTCCAAGTGCCCCAAGATCCTCACAATGGGCTTAAATCAGAAGCTTGTCACTACTGTCCGGTGCCTTGCAACCTTGGGATCAAAGCCGGGAGAAGTGACCTCAGCCATCACCAAATTTCCTCACATTGTTTCATGCAGTGTGGAAGAGAAGCTCTGCCCATTACTAGCTTTCTTCCATATGCTAGGAATATCTGATAAACAACTGGGTAAGATGCTTTTGTTGAATCCAAGGCTCATCAGTTGCAGTGTGGAAACAAAATTGACTCAGATTACTGATTTCCTTGCAAGCATTGGCCTCAATAAGGAAGGGTTGATTGGTTAAACTCTGGTGAAAAATCCATTCTAGGTAGGTTACAGTGTTGAGGAACGACTTCGACCAACAACAGAATTTCTCAAATCAATAGGCTTAGATGAGTTGAACTTGCAACGGGTGGTTTGTAATTTCCCTTAAGTGTTCTGTCAGGTTGTCGAAAAGGTTCTGAAACCCAATTTAGCATTCTTGAAGAGATGTGGATTTAACAGTAAACAAATTGCAGCATTGGTTGCCTGATATCCCCCTATTCTGATCAAAAGTGTCAACAAATCCCTGGAACCCAAAAATCAGATTCTTGGTAGAAGATACGGGAAGGAAAATCAATGATACAGCAGAGTGTATCCAGAGTTCTTTCGGCATGGTGAAAAGAAGAGCCTGGAGTTTCGGCACAAGCTTTTGAAACAAAAGAATGTTCATTGTAGTTTGAGTGAAATGCTCAGCTGCAATCGGAAGATGTTCATTGCTAAGTATGGCTTAGCTGCGGGCTTCTCCTGACTTTGTGCTTGCTGCTCTTTTCAATCTTTGTATTACATTTCTGGCCGGAGTCTGGTTTTCAGTCTTTGAGAGTGAGAGATGTAAGAGCATGTTCTTTGAGGTAAGTAATATAGTTGTTTCTTTACCTCCTCTCATACCACACTTGGCATTGTTGGATAGAATTCATCTTCAAGATTGTTAATTCATTTCATCACTTGAGGTAATGCTACAAAATCATTACTCATTGTAATCAATATTAGGGCACAACATTAATTTGTTGTCATTCATCAGTTCTATTTTTTATAATTCTTTCTACTTTTGTTTGCGATGTACTCAAATTAATTCTTACATTGCTACAACATGAACATGACTGGCAAAATTTTTGTTGTTGGTTCTATTGCGGTATGCTCTTTTGTCAGATTTACTAGGGTAGTTGCAACATCTATTGCCTTGTGTTATCTCTAGCTTGTATTTTGCATCATCCAACCACAGATTGTAGGCATATCAGAAGACTGTGAGATAGATTTGATACCCTTAATCCCATTTGCTGTTTTTGAACTTCTTAAGTTGAAGGATCACAAACATTGCTTTTGTCGACATCTGATGCACTTTTCACGGGTGGCTTTTTGCTGAACTATTGGCATGTAGTCATAGATCATGTTGACAAGATTAGAAAAAACTAGGAAGACATTTCTTTTGCAAAATAGTGTAGAATCTTCGGCATGATGATATTCCATTTAGGTTCAGACAGCAGATCAAAAGAACTGGCTTTTGCAGGATCCATGCCCTGATAGATTATAGTAGCTGCATAAAGGTAAAGCTGCAGAAAACAAGGCAGGCATACTGTTATGCTATCTACATGGATGTTGATAAAAGCTTATAGGAAATGATAAACATTAATTATATTTTGTTGAATGCCGATAAGAATAATAGTAATTTTTAGACCAGGATCTGCTGATGCTCCTCACCAAATATCAAAATGAGCTAGTGGCTCAGGATGGATATGGATTTTTACTGTTCCCTTCAACTTTAGTGCTGCAGAGTACAGTTTGTATAGATTATATAGATATACCAGTGCATGCATGTATAGATATACCAGTTAGTATAGATTATATAGCCGTCGAGGAGTATTTTTCTGGAAGCAATTGACAAAATAAGTCAACTATCAGTAAACAAAAGTTGGTATTGTCAATCATCATGAACCTTAAACCAGAAAACTGATATGATCATGCAGTTGTTATGAAGCTTAACACTTTCAAGAACCTTACTGGAGGCAAGGATCTAAATACTGGTTAGACCAGTGCATACTGATCATTCATATTGGGTACACACTGGAGGCAAGTGATATCCTTCCCTGAAAGCCTTCAGCATCTTGAAAGCATACCCAAATCATGCATCATCCATATTAATTATTCTCTGTGGCACTTCTATTATAACAAGATGGATCATTCTTATTTTTATGGATGCAAGCCTCTGGTATTGTTGTTGTGGCTTTGGCTATCCAGTTATCACCAGGATTAAGTGGAAAAAATGTGCTTGATGATGGGACTTTTGTGGTTGATATCTACTCTTTTGAGTCAATGAATTTGCAGTAGATAGCAATAAGTGCATTTGACAACATATAATGGTCAGAAACATGTGTAAAGAAAGAATGCCATTTCCTGTCCTGTTTTAACATTGCTGCAGCTTGAATCGATTTCACCTACTCTTCTGGTGCCCAATCACACCGTCTGTCGATGAGCTGAGCTACAGCTCGATCACATGGGTTGAGTCGATACCAATCATGGGTCATTCTTGGTCACATGAGTTAGATCGCATCGTTGAACTAACTTGCATAGAACACCCAAAACCAATTAATCGGTATGTTGATCGGAAAACATTCAACATGTTATCAAATAATTAATTTAATTGATTTGAATTCATGAAAGTTATTGATCAAATAAATCAGCATGTCAAATTAATTAAATCAACATAAAATAATGACAAAATTTTATAAAATCCATCTAATATGATTTCATGTTTAACTATATCAATGCCATCATAATTCATATATTTTTAAAATCTAGAAATAAATAAATTCTCGAACTAAATATATATTCTAAACATATAAAAGATACAATAATTAAAATAAAAATTTTATTTTTTTTTTAAGAAAGCTGGATAATCTACCTCCCTTACTCTTGCTAGTAGAAGTTAAATCTCTTCTCGAAAAGTAAAATATAATTTAAATTTTATTTTGTTTTCTCAGCAAAAAATAAACTTTGAAATAGGCATTTTTTTAAAAAAAATCCACATCACTGATCTAAAAAAAATTAATTAATAATATTTAGATTATTTAATATTTAAAAATTGATTGAATTCGTAATTTGCCCACATGAACGAAATCAATTTTAATTATTTCCTCAGGCAAACAAAGATATGAATAATCCAAATAAAAAAAACTCTTAATTTTGATAATTTTGAATAATGAATAAAAGGAGAAAAATCTCCGGGAATTGCAAGGAAAAATAAAAAGACACTTCAAAAAGCAGAGTTTAGATCTGTTTCCTGCACTGCTTGTGCAGGAATGGCAAAGTCTTCGATCAGACAACTCAATGCTGCAACCAAGTCAACGATGTGTCGATTGCTCTGATGACTTTGGTGCCACTGTGCTGCTGTCTCCTTCCCGGTGGAGTACAGCAATGATTCATGTTGGTTGTTCGCGCTGATTCACCAGAGACAAGATTAGATCGACGCGACTGATCAAAAGACTTGCGCCGTCGATTCATCTTAGCTTCTGTCGTCGACCAGCCTCCCTCGGTCTCATCAATCCTTTCTTTGCGCGCTAGTCGTTCCGGCAAGCAGGCGAGAACATTTGGTAAACGTCATCTCAAGCTCAGACTCGGTTAGATTCTATGTCGATGCTGTTGGATTACGATTCATGCTGTCGTTGATGCTTGTCACTGGGTTTGCCTCTGTTTCCTGCAGCTTTCATTAATTTGCTCTGATAATTACTGCTTGGTAAGTGTAAATTTGCTGTGATGATTCTGAACATAGTACTATAGATGTGGACAGAAGCAACATTTCGATCTGAAAACGAAATGGTGTGGAGAAGAAACAAATCCATCATTGTCTACTGCATTATGAGGCACTGTATTAGATGGAGATTTCAGAAGTTTTGAGAAAGGTATTGGACGTGTGGATATCGACCAGCAAACAACTGAAAGGAAAACCCTTCTGCAGATCCTCTCTGTCCACCCTCATCATCTGACGTTGGTGTAGTTCTTCATGAACAGGCAGAAGAATAAATGTCTGCGAACTGATCATATGCAGCCATAAGCAGTAACAGGAAACCAGACATGGCAGTGGAGGAGATTAAATGGGCATGCATGGCTACCT